AGACACATCTGTGAAAGTTGCCAAGCCTATCCTATTTGGGATTAACATTGGAAAAACCTCAGGCAATTGAGCTTATGTAAATATTTGGAAGTTTAATTTCTTTCATCTACTAGTGGTTTTGTACCATTCCTTCTGCCCATGGCATTGTGATCCCTTCCCATGCCCATGTTGAAGAGGTGGCTGGTCAATTTTGTATACAAGGAATGGCCGGAGTTTGCTCTTCACACACCCTCCTTACCCCAGCTATGTTTTTTGTTGTTGTTGTTACTATGTTGCCCTGATCTTTCTGTTTGTTGTTTTGTCTCATAATTGAGATGTAAATACTTCCCTATACCAAAAAAAAAAAATACTGTTTCTTTTCTTCACTTTGTGCTTGTTTGATTCAGTGAAGAATGAATGAGCCCACACTCTGCTATGTACCAAACAAAGTATTGAGAGGTAGTTAAGCATGTTTCTTTGCTACAACTTGGGGTAGAGTGTGCATATATCTGCAGAGTTATTTGTAGAAGAAATGTCTGTGTAATGAACTGTAATATTGAGCCAGCCTTAGCAACTCCACTAAAAAGTGTGATTTTTGTAGGTAAAGTGAATTGTTTCTTTCTTTTCTGACTTTTGTTGGGAGAACTTGAATTTTCCATCAAATTAAAAACAAGTGTTAATTTTCCCCTGAACAATTTTTATCTTTTATTCTGATAATTGCATTAAATTTTCTTTTCATTCTTGCCAGTATAATAGCTTCTAAAGTTTCCATGTACCTCAAGCAAGTATCTAGCGCATCACAGAATATATGTTGATAGAATTACTATTTATCTTTTATGCTGTTACCTTGTGATTCATTCAAATGTTTAACTTATTTATTATTGAATTGGAGATAAAACATTATCTGTAATGTTTTATGGCTAAAATAATGGGGAGAAAAATAGATTTTAAAAAAATTTTGTCCCCTTTGAGGGGGGGGGGGGGGGAGCAAGAGGGAACGTTCTAACTGAGTGTAGAATTCAGAAATGTGTACCACTGAGGTATATGTTGGGTGGGCTCACTGAGTCATGATCCCATATCACCTGTATATTTGTCTTACCTCTGCTGTGTACTAACACTTCAGGTATGTTTCTTCCCCTGCTAAGCCTCACTTTTCTCATATGTGAAGTTGGCATGCTATTAAGATGTATGTGCAGCCCAAGGCTGGTCACATCTCCAGGAGCATGGGCTGAATGTGGAGTCAGAGCCTTTTCTTTAAATAAAGGGTTATTTTTTTGTGCTTAAAAATATTTGTGTGTGTGTGTGTGTGTGTGTGTGTGTGTGTGTGAGAGAGAGAGAGAGAGAGAGCGCATGCACGCGTGCATGTGTATGAGGAGGTGGAGCTGGTGCATGTGTATGTTTGGTGGAGCTGGTGATTTGTCCTCATCCTCTAGATCCAAGCAAGCCAAGGGAGGGAAGATCCTGTTCAAAAGGGAGCAATAAAAGAGAGGAAACAGAAAGGAAGGCAGAGCAGCGTGAGGTCAGGAAATGAGAAAGATGGAAATGGGAAAGGATGGGAAAAGAGCAGTCGGATCTGATTGGGTGGGAATCTCTTTGTGAAGGAACCCAGCCAGTATTTAACCTGTTTTGAAAAAGCTCGACTTCCAGCATTTTTAATTAGTGGCTTGCTCTCTTTTTAAATTGCCCAGTTGGGAATACTCAAGTTTTGATGTTTTATCTGCCTGCTAATTAGCAGGCTGCTGGGTTGACCATCATTTTTTTCCTTTTATTCAGTGGACAGAAGATATGTGTAAAGGTCTACTGAAACAGTTTAGCTCAAGTCTGGGTTCAAATCCATAGCCACAGTGTATCCAGGGAAGAATTCTTAGTAAGTCATAAATCAAATTTCAACACATCTCTTCTTGAATTCCTTTTCTTTTTTTCACTGGCCTGGGGTGACTGTGTTTCAGCACAGTCCATACTTGGGGCAAGAACATTCTTGATTGAAAGGGCTGTTCTGTGCTTTTGTAGAATGGATGGAAGTGCTCCTGACCTCTTTCCTAACCCATGATATCCAAAACTGCCTATGGAACTTGCCAGTGTCTTTTGGTGGTAAAATTACCTCCAATGGAGATTCCCTGGTAAAGCCATATGGTCCTTTCTGCCCTCACATGCATTATATGTTTAATGCCCTTTTGTAATTGAAAGTAGACAAGTCCAGTCAATATGAAGTCTATGGCAGACAAAGAAAAGCAAATCTACCCCTTTCTTGCCTTTTTGGCAGATTTAATGCCAGGATCTCCCATCAATACTAGTTGGCAGTTACAGGTTAAACAAATAAAGCTCAGGTTGTAGTAAATGTTTGAAACCCTGCAGTGATCTAGAGCTTTAATTTTTACACCCCCCAGATGTTTTTGTTTTATTTAAGAATTAAGAGAACCATGCAGGATGCCAAAGTCACTGGTGTGAAAATCCCTGAGGGTTGGAAGTCTTTGTGTGTGGAAGTTCAGTGTGTGCAGGATAGGGCTCATTAAACAGCAGATTTGGAGAAGGTTTTACACCTTTTCTTCAGGCCTGTTGTAGTCTCCCAAGTTTCCTTTCTGTGCCTTAAGCTTGCAGTGCACTGAGTCTAACTGTCCATTGGGCACATCTGCCTACAGTTCCTTATCTTCTGGAGTACCAAGAGGAATTGAAGGAGTATGGTTAATAGAGAGAAAGATGGAGGACGTGTGGGGAGATTTGGGTAGGTGGACACCAGAAGAGGGAGAGAGCATAAGGCCAAGAAATAAAGGACATTGAGAGAGAGAGGGAGGCTGACAATTCAAGTTTATTAGCAGTAAGTTAGTTGTTGCTGTCCCATCTCTTAAGATATCCTCTAACACCATGTACTCCTCTGTACCCAAAAATAAGCCAATTAATTATACTGTGATTGCTTCTGCCGATAATAAACTAACAGTAGTAAAAGGAATGACAGTAGACCTGTAAGAGAATAAACAGTATCAAGGAGATGTTCACAGAGTCAGTACATGGAATTATGTCTCACCCTCCTCCGATTCTGTCAAGGGATGTTTGTGATGGCCGTCTGTTATCTACCAGGATCAAAAAATATACATAAGGGAAACTTTTCATGTTTATAATGGGCCTTTCATCAAAAATCTCAAAGTCATCCCCAAATATAGAAGGGTCCTTAGAGGTTCATGGCTCTGCTATCCTGAAGAGTGTTGCTCAGAGCACCGATGAAGGAATGTTTCTTACTCTTGTTAGCATTAGAATTGTGCACGGAGAGATCAATGGATCCCAAGTCAAGTATGGCCTTATAATCTGATATCAACTTCAATTTCTACATGTCAGATACCAGGATGGTAATTTATTCTGTAGTAGGAGACCACACATCAATGAATATTTCGGAAGCAAAATTAGTCTTGAAAGATTAAGAAGAAAATAGGAAACAAAGTTGGATGGGTAGGGAATGGGGAGGGATGAATCTAGAAAGATGGGGGATGAATATGATCAAATGTATTGTGAAAGCAAGGATGATGGTGGTGATGGTGATGATGATGATGATGATAGTTTAGGCTATATGGACCATCCTTGTCTTTTTGTTTGTTTGTTTGTTTTGTTAGAAACAGAAGGTGTCTCCACAACCTTTAAAAAAACCCAAATATCTCTGTGCTGTGCTAGTGGGAGCAAACTATTGAGCCCTTTCATTTTGTAGTTTTGTTTGCACGTCTGTTGTCTGCTGTAATAAACTTGGCTGGAGAACAAACAGTATCTAGTTATGTTCTGGCAGTGATGTTGAAAGTGTCAGTGTGGGTATTTACTTCAACTTAACTTCCCCTTTGGATTAAAATTGCATTCATGTACTCATAAGTTTGTTTTGTCCAGAAGATTTTACTAAAACTTTAAGTGCTGTTTCCCATCTCTCACAACGGAGGCTATCAAATGCTATGGAGGATAGAAGCAATTTTTATGTGCATCCCTCTGGTTCCTGAGGGTCCAGTTCACTTCTGCTGTGAATTTAAATTAGTTAATTTAAGTAGATGGGTCAGAAGCCACTGTCATCATGGTAGCCCGTGCCTGGTTCTTAATTAAAGGCAACAGGAGATTAATTTGAAACATTAATTTAAAAGTGCATGTACAAAAAGAAAGAATTATTGCAAGAAAGCCTAAAGAACTTCTCTCTTGTCCCTAGATGTAGAAGATAGAAGTAGCTCAGGGTCCTGGGGGAATGGAGGCCATCCAAGCCCATCCAGGGTTTGTTTTTATAATCTTTTTTCCCTGCAAGCAGACATGGCATATATGTAAATTGACTGAACTTCTCACATGCATCAGGTATGCACACATAAGGATGCATACTTATGTGCACACGCTTACACACATATATACACACACACCTGCACACATCTATATGTATAATCGGTTTAATGAGGGAAGCTTTCTGGGATTCTTAGCTTTTATTGGTTACCACACTGGAGTTTATACCTGTTGAATTGGTGCTAATCTGAAGAGAACCCTTTTATCAAACATGTGGTTTGCTCTTTGCCAGTCAGGGATCAAGTGTGATAGAAAGACATTTGTTGCATTCAAACCAAGTTTAAATAAATCCTTATTTATCAATCACATATTGGTATGACAAGACTCCTGAGTAACACTCCATAGGCTTCTAGCCTATTAATATGATTTGCACAGCAAGTCTGCATTAGTTTCATTTTGTGGTTGTGTTACTGTTCAGGCAAGCCATTGCATATGATATCTTTAGTGCTTTTTTTTTTTTTTTTTTGTGCTCCAAGGCCACAGCAGGTTTCATTATACACATACAATGTCCCCAGTTAGAAGTAGACTTAGCACAGTAAAATGAACTTCCCTCCTTCCTGCCTCCCTAGATGGTGCATTCTCCTGGGAGGGGACATCTTACTGTAAGCACATCCATCGTTTTGTATTGGGGGAGGTTTCTGCTTTCTCACTGGAGACAGAAGTGGTCCATCAGGCTGCCAAAAAGGCTATTTTAACCAGTCATACTGAACACTTTGCACCTGTCCTTGGCACTGGGGGCCTCACGCTGGTCTTCAGGGTGTAGCAGGATCTCTAAGCCTACGAGGAACTCTGTTGAGCCTTGGAGCAGCTGTTGAGCTTGACATTCTAATGCATTATATGGATGGATTGAGGAAATCTTTCCTCCTCCTCATGTTACGGTCTGCACTTGCACAAATAAATCCAATCCCTTGACAGCAAGTGGGGGTGAGAGAATGTCCCTCTATTGTTCTGTTCACTTAGGCTTTCTTAGTTTCTTCTTACGTAGTCTGGTGCTTGATTCAGTACAACCCTATAAATTGAGCTAAATTCTCATAATAAGAATACATTATTAATTTTATATTAATTTCTTACCACTAATTTCCTACCAGTAGTTTACTCTTAAAAATTTTAAATTTAAAATATGTTATAGTGTATATATAGTCCAATACACCAATATACTTTCAGTTTTGGCAAACAAAGCCTGTTTAGAATCTTCCTGATTGACTTTTAAACTTAGTTTCCAGCAACTGCAGTTTTTTTTTTTTTTTTTTTTTAATAAACAAGCCTGTGAGATGGCTCAATGGGTAAAGGAGCTTACCACTATGCTTAACAGCTCCATTCCTGAGACCTACATGGTAGAGAGAGAATTGACTCAAAGTCATCCTTTGACTTACATATGCTGTGTCACACATGTATGACATTCTCAACCACAACACACATACAGAACAAATAAGTATAATTAAAAAAGAAAAAATAAATGCATTGGCTTCGGGAATATGTCATTTAGCAAAGAGCTTGCATACAATCATAAGTACTAGGGTTTGATTCCTATAATGCATTGTTAAGTAAAAAAATATACAGGGATAGCATTATGTACTTAAAAATCCCAGTACCTGGGGCTCACTGGCAAGTTAGCCCACCCGAATCTGTGCATTTTATGCCTGAGTTTGTTTTTAGGCATTCGCACACAGGTACCACACACACACACACACACACACACACACACACACACACACAAACACATGCACACACATGTGAATACACATACACAAATATATAAATACACAGGAGACACATATTGGTGAATGATTTGAATTGCCATATTATTATTTATGATTCCCAATTTCAGGGAGTTTCCCAAGACTCATGTTTGTAGACTCATGTTAGGTGACCTTGCTGTGTCCCTTTCCCTCAAATCACCAAGTATTGGTACTATCTTCTACACAAAGTTCTGTGCTGAAAATTAAGTTTGATCATGTATTTTAAGTTTGTAGTACACTATCTAGGATGAGGCCATTTCATAAGTATTAATCAGCATTACACAATGACTGCATGGGTCCTTTAGTGTCTGACATCTAGTTACAAATTAACATCATAGCAGGATTAGATTCCAGCATCATCCTAGTTAACTTTTTGTACATGAAGAAAGGTGAGGGAGAACAGAGTTGCTTGTCCCGAGGGTCTCCATCCTTCCATACTGAAGTGATGTGACTTTTGTTGTTCTCCCAGCATCCATCTTTCATGTGTGGGCAGATTCTGCCCTTTGGCTAACATACCAGACTTGTACCTCTGAGTAAATTTGACTTAGACTTTATGGACAGTTCAGCCAGCTGAGCAGACACCTCCCCCCACCCTGCTTTCTGGCTTTCTGGTCACTTCAGGCTCTTTAATAGACAGATTTCAATCAAACAACACAGTTGGTTTTAACTCTTTCTTAGATGCTAGTGACTGGAAAGCTTACAAACAATGTATTAATTTTTAAATTCCCAAGTTGACGAGATCATAATTATAGTGAAACATTTATTCAGAAATGATTCCCCTTCAAATTGCTTTTGTGTGGTATATTTTTTAACCAGCATAAATACTGATTTATGCTGATTTCTTTATTACTGGGTGTTGGTGTGTATATAAAGCTGGGGAAGAACATACACATGTCGCTGCCCAGATCTAGATGTCAGAGGACAGCACTGTAGGGTTATTTTTCACTCCACTTTTGCATGGATGCTGGAGGTTGAACTCAGGTCTTCAGTTGAGTACAGAAAGCATCCTTTCCCTCTGAGCCATCTCACAGGCTGGGTCCTGAAGCTTTGATGTTCATTCATAGTTCGAGAATGTTACTCTTCACATTCTTATGTGTTAATTACTAATATAATGAGCCATCCATTTTGCAGCTGCAATAGTAGCTAAAATAAAACATTGAAACTTTAATATTGCAAACTAAATGTTGCTTAAACAGCTCTCCCTTGTTTTTAAAAGAGGCGAATCATTGCAGACTGAATCATTTCTCCTTTAATGTAGGTTTTGAGAAAGAATAACTTTTGTTATACACAGTTTACTTCATAGGTGTCTGCTGTTTTACATGCATTATTTCATTTAATCATGTCAACAATTTTATGACATTGGTAGCATTATCATTATTTCAAGATTTCACTGCTATTACTGTGGGAAACATTTGAAATCTGTGGATTCAGTAGTTCTCTTTAGCCTCCTATTTTCATGAAGGTACAAGTTCTTACAGTGTCATTTTATGGGGCAAGTAATAACTGACTCCAGTTTCTTTGGATAGTAAAGGCTTCAGTATTGAGGTGTGTTTATGAATGTAAAACAAACGGACTTATTC